CAAGTTTAGTTTAAAAAGTATGTTAGAACAAAGCTGCAGAAATTGCCTGGAATTTCCTTCATTTTCAGCCATCTGGCTTTCATTGCTTGCTTAGTTCCCCTCCTCCATGTACATTTACCAAATCTTTTCAACACACACCGGCCAAGCTATCAAATGCTTATAATTAATAACAGTCATCCACTTTTCTTTTTTTTTAAGTAGTGTGGTCTGGTTTTCCTTGGGCTGCTCATGTCATTGCTTTTATAAGCCAGGTAGATAATCAATGAAGTTTAATTGTGAAGGCTTATGTGAATAAAAAGAAAATTTAATAGAATTTAAGTCCTAAATTAAAAATAATCATGCATTCTTTTTACATACAAGAAACAGCAAGGAAAGGAGAAGAGAATGCATTTTTCTGAGTTTCTACCATGATCCTACTATAGAGATGAGGAAATTGAAGATCCACAGAGGTGTATAACCTCCTGAGGGCCAGAGAGTTCAAAGTGACAGAGCAGGATTTGATGAAAATGACAAAATCTATCTGTTGGCTCTTCTATTTTGGTGATCTTAGGATGAGAAAGATATTTAGCACTTATCAAGTGAAGAAACCAAGTTGTTAAAAAATAGATGCTGTGAGATCCCATTCATAAAAGGAGAAGCCTCACATATTTATAGATGTTCATGTGTGTACACAAATTCATAGGAAGCCCAGAAGGGGATGGAGCAAACCGTCAGCAGTGATTGACTCTCTGCAGAGGAGAGGACTGGGACTGTTGAGGATGGTGAAGGGGAGTGTACAGCTTTCCTTGTGATCACCTGAGTTGTAAAGAATGAAAATGCGTTAAGTATCACTTGAATAATGCTTAGAAAGCTTTCTTACTAGGACCAGGAGGCTGACCTTTTCCTAATAATTTATGTTAAGTTCCTTCTTGGACGCTTTTCTCTTGAGTTCATCTAACTCACCACTGAAGGTGTGGCTGGGTGGTGTGGTTCCTGTACAGAAATCGCTCAGATAGTGGTAAGATCCCTAAAATGATGTTTCTTCCTTGTAATGATAACTATTTGCAATCAACTTCAACAGAAAATTTTCATTGGCTGCTTTCAAGCAAAAATGGTGCTAATTTTTATGGCCCCTTTTAGGCAAGGTTGTGAAAGGATGAACATCTGTCTTGCGTACTACGTTACCCCTTTCTGACATTTTCCTGAGTAATGCTAACAGATTGCTCAACCTCCCTCTGTCTCTTTCCCCGGTTATAGCTTGCCCTCATATCCTTGCTTTGGGGGTACTTTGTCTTACATGGCTGACAGCCCTTGTGTTTAAATTGATCTATGTTTGTTATATTGTATGCTGTAAACTGGCATGTAAAGCCTTAGGACTAACTAAAGGAATCCAATAATGGCATTTTCACCAGGATCTTGAAGGTAGGAGAGAAAGGATAAGGAGAATGAAGAGGAAAGACAGCACTGGGGTCTTCCAAGTTAGCACTAATAATATGGTCTAGACATTGCTACTTACAAATTTGGCCCCCATCCTTCATAATTATGTATTCAACAAGCAGTTAAAATTGGCTGCTATGTGCCAAATATTATACAATATGTTATTTATTATTTGTGTCAAATAGTAAACCATATATTATATATAAAATAATTGTGTTAGTATATATAATATATATATCATATATATTAGGAATAATGAGAGGAGTATAAGACATAAATCTGATGGCAGGGATGTAAAGTCTAGTTCTCTTTCATAGAGAACTACTGTCTTAAGAAAGTTCCACAATAAAATGCAGGTTCTACCCATGCACCCACACACATGTACACCCACAAGTGCACACACATGTACACCCACACAAATTGGAACCATCAGAATAACTCCAGCTGGAGAACACTCCCTTCCCGCTGTGAGTAACTAGGTATGAGAATGTATCTGCTTAAACCTGATGAAAGTTACACATGTGCTTCTGAGACAAGCTCTGCTGTCACACAGAGTAAGTGAGGAGAAGCCAAGTTTAATTTTAGGAAGACTGCCCAAATAGATAGGACTTGACTTGTAGGGCTTTTGGTATATTCAATGTGAACTGGTAACTCTGATCATATACAAGGAGGAAACTGGCTTCCCAAGTGGTATGCAGTAGGATTAAAGACTGCTTGGGAATGCTAATTTACAAACAGACAGAAGTGAAGAATGGAAACATCATTTCTGTATGTCCCAAAGAAAATTCTTTTTTTAAAATACTTATCTGAAAGGCTGAGACACCCCCTCCCCCCTGAGAGAGTGAGAGCGAGAGCGAGAGAGAGAGAGAGAGAGAAATATGAATCCTCCTTGGGGTGGTTCACTCCCTCAGTAGCTGCAATGTCCAGGGCTGGGCCAGACTAAAGCTGGGAGCCCAGAACTTCATCTGGCTTTTCTACAGGGGACCAGAGACTTGGGCTATCCTCTGCTGTCTTTCCAGGCACATTAGCAGAGAGCTGAATTTGTAGTGGGGCAGGTGGGACTCGAACCAATGACCACATGGGATGCCGGCATCACAGGTGGCAGCCTAACTGACTGTGGCATGACACCATCCCCTACTGTGTTTTTTTTAAATACATGGATATCAGCACAGAACAAGAGCCCACAAGTCAGTGTATAGAAATACACAGCCCATCAGAGAATGCTCCAAAATACACAGAGAACACTGAACTATGCAGAATAAGAATTATAAATTAAAGATCTATATTATTCCCAGTTGGACAGAGGCTATATGGGGAAACTGCACTATTATGCCCTTACCACACTTTCTCCTCTGTGCGTCTTATACCAGGAAATGAGAGGGAGAGATTCCTCCCTGATGTGGGATTCATACTACACAGGAGAGGCACCTACACACATTTTTTCCTTTTAAGAAGAAAATCTACATTGGCTCTTGGATATGAGATGAAAAGAATGCTTCTTATCAGTCCACTGGGGTTTGTCCCCTTTATGGTTTTAATTAGAAGCATTCTACACGTGCCCAAATGTGTAGGGTTGACCCAAGAAATTCCTGGCTGTGCCCAGCAAGAGGCCTTACTGTCATGTCAGTCTGATGGTGGGGAATGAAAGAACTGAAATTATCTGGAGCAAATGCAACACAGTACAGCCCAACAGTACTCTTTGTCCATGAGTCAACAAAAGGTCACAGAGTAAATTAAGCTTATCTTATTTAACTGTAGGAAAGTAACATCTCATATTCTATTCCTTTTGCTGCTTATGGAAGCAACAGATTAAGAGGCCACAAATGCCAGCAGGCTGTCAGCTAGGTCTGGGTACTGACTTCTTGGCGTGGCCTCAGCTCATCACAGTTTGGATGGCACTACAACTCTGGAATGTGGTTAGAAAGACCCTTTTTCTTGTTTCTCAAGTGATGACAAGTAAGCAGAACAGAAAAGAGAACAATTAACACAAAGAAGCAGAAGTTGCTGTCTCATGTTCTGTCTGAAGAACAGTGAAGACTCAATGGACACTTGAACAGGACAGGGTGGTCCCTTATCATTTCTCACAACCAGTTCATTTTGCATATACGAAAACAGAGAGAGCAGTCACCTTGCCCAAGGCCACACAGCTAGTTGGTGACAGGGATAGGATGCGATGCCGGGCTTCCTGACCTACTGGGCAAGGGCCTTGCAGGCTGTCTATGATGAACCTCTTGGCTTCTTCCTTTACAGGGAGATTGTAGGCTAATAGAAGAACTTGTGCCTTTTGTCCATGCACTTAGGTTTTAAGCTCATACAACTTGAGAGCTATGAGGTTGAGACAGAGATGTGGGACCAGGTAGGGGAGGGATAGAAAAAGAGGTGACTTAGGATTCCATGTGTTTGGTCTTAGCTTCCCTTGGTCCAGATCTTCACTATTTAAGTAGCTGCTGTTCTCATGGGTGAAGTGCTGCTCCAAGCAGTGGCTGCCTGACTTTCTGATTGCCTTGGAGATTGTGGCACTAGTGTTCCTCTTCAAGTCTGCTCTCGAAGGGAAGAAACTCAGGCTCACCATTCAGATCACTACACTGAACAACTGTGGTGACCAGCAAGAGAAGTGTGACTCTGGGTTGTGCCTCTGTTTGGTTGGAGGAGGCCTGCAATCTGTGTCTTCCAAGCCCCAAAGAAAGGAATCAAGTTGGCTGAGAAAAAAGACAAGCAGTGTATCAGCTTAACCAGCCAACTGTTGTTCATGCCTGAAAATAGTGTCTTGCTGCTTATATGATGCACTTTGCAGAAGGAGAAGACATATCATTCAGAAACAGAATTCCTTTCACATCTAGGATATAATCTTATCCAGTAACAGTCTCCATTCCATCAGCAGATTTTAAAGCCTACCTTTGGTTCTTTCAACATGTCCCTTCCAAGCCGGAATCACAGATGCGACTGGCTTAGAAAGAAGTATCTAAAAGGCAAGTCTCTCAAGACACCATAAAATTATGTAGACTGAAGCAGTGATTGGATTGATAAACCAAGGCTCAGGGTTGGGCAATAATGAGACCCAGGCAGAGCTGAACAATGAAATGCTCTAATTGATTTTACGCATGTGGAATGACACACAACCCCCAGAGCATGCTATAATGAATCTGCATGCTGTGTGCATACAGATTTCACAGTGGGTCAATTATACCACCCAGATGCTTCAGTTCCTTATACCCTATCATTTGCAAGCTGGTTCATTACCATGGTGTGAGGGTTTGGGACACAGGCAGACACCACGAAGTCTGTGGTCAGTTCATGTTCCCTTTTGGGGAAAGCAAGTATGTGGCACGCGCACATACCAGCCATGCCACAAGGCTTGCTTCAGTTCACAGAGCCTTCTGGACTCTGCACATGACCATTGATTGGGCTGGAATTCCAAAGCACTGGTTTCAATTAAATTTAAGTGGATTTGACTAAAAGCTTGAACTGATGCTAATTGGTTTTCAAAATATTGGGTAACAATAAGTGTTCCCGTCTTGCCCATGGAAAGATGCACCCAGTTCTGCACCCACTCCTGGCTAGCAGGGAGGGCATACATCCCTTACCTTGCTGGGCAGGGATCCAAATTACAGGATTTCAGGAGCTGTGGGGGCCGGCGGCTGGTCACGCACAGGTTCTCATCAGCAGGCTCCCGAGTCTGTTTGTTCAGGCAGCTCACCACAGCCTCCTGGACACCTGTGTACAAATCACACTGTCAGGCCAGAGAGCAGAGTGGGCGTGGGTCACGGTGATGAAGTGTAGACAAGGCAGCTGGCAGGAGGTCTCTGTGATCGGGGGGGCTCTTGCTGCATGTCAGAGACGGCAGCATAAAGCCCAGAACTGCCAATCTTGTCACGCATCACTCGATCTGGAGAAAGTAGTCATAAGTTTGTGGCCCATGGAAGCATACCTCTGGAGGGGGGCAACCTCCCCATAAGAGAGACTTCTGCCAATATTGTTGAAAAGCTAAAAAAATTGCCATGAAGCTGTATAGTCACCAATGCTGAAATGTGATAATTTAATACAGAAGGAGTACACAGTGACAACGAAAAAGAGAGAAAAAAATGGCCCCAAGACTTTAACTTGTTATATTTTAATCAAAAGGAGATTGTTGTATTTTATGGGAGGCCCAAGGCCACATTTTAACAGCTAACAGTCTGTACACTGCTGTGCTCTTGGGCCTGGCATCCAAAACTTCAGCCTACACTGGTTTCCTTTGGCTTCTGGTTAATTTCTTTAGTGACGTGGGGCAGCTTTGGAAATGGGAACAAAGAAAGAGAATCAGAGTTACAATTGCAGCACCTGTCTTGACTCAGCTCTAGTACAATGGGAGGCTGAGCAGTGACTGGCACAGGTCACCTGGCAGGTCTACCCAGGTGGTCTGCAGGATACCATGTGGGGAGCTTCACGGAGCAGGGAAACATGTACATGGGTCCCACAATGATCAGACATTTCATTCTGGCGACTACTCTCATAACATGAATACTCAGAGCTAACCTCTGCACGGTGTCTGTTCTTAAGGCCAGAGGCTGGACATGTGCTATTTGGTCCTCTCAACAGCTCCACAAAGTAAGCACTATTTTAATCCCCACTTTAAAGAAATAGTGACCGAGACTTAAAAAGATGGGAAGACTTGTCTTAGGTCATACAGTTGCTATGGTGAAATCCAAGATGGCTGTGCCTTCAGTGCTGACAGCATTAACATTAAAAATACTAAGAGGCTGTCATATTTGAGTCTTCTAGAGTCTTCAGAAATAACCTAGACATTTGTCAGGAATATTTCAACAGAGTTCAATTTCAGGGAAGAAGCCAGACAGGACATGTCACTAACCTGCTTTCAGCCATACACAACTGTGTATATAAAGATACCTATATCTAAAGATATCAAAGCCCTTATAGCAGAGTCTGTGTGATCCATGTAGCTCTGTATATAAATACATACACATCTTCTTGTCTTTAGTTTCTACATTGCTTCTTCAAGCACATAGTACCTAAAAGTACAACTGGTAATAGCCTGGTCTCTGCCACCCTTCTGTGCACCCTAAGTTCCTCCAAAAATGTCATCATCCCAATCAACAGGCTAATGCTTCCAAGGTTGATGCTAAACTGACCTAGGTCACTGAGCAAACCCATCATTTAAAAACTGACATTTTAAAGCCAGAATTTAAAGTTCCTTTCTTCTCTCATTTAAGTTTGATAAAATCAAACTTTTTAAAAATTAATCACAATATTTACCATGTGCCCATGATGGTATCCTTCATATTTTTTTTCTGATTTTTTATGATCTTCAGAATTTAATTTAAATATCTCATCACCAGTTCAGGGTGGAACATTTGAAATTATGAGTCTTCTAGACATTCAAATTACCCCATCATACTCTAATGTTGATTGTGGGGGCGTCTGCTTGGTTGCAGCTGGGACTAGCCATTTGAAATTTGTGGCATGATGATATAGCAAAATACTTCTCAAGAAATTATTGATGTCATCACTGACGTTTCTCACTGGAATAGTCTAGAATTTCTGGGTAATGATGACTTGTCACTTGATGTAGCTTGCTAGTCCATAATGAATCTAGGCTGTGGTTATATTAGAAACCAAATTTCCAATTCATTTGATCTCTTGATAGTATACAAGAGATTCTAAATACAGGTCTAAAATAAAATATAGCTTGGCTTTCTTGAGCTGTTGAAGATCTTAGAAAATTGGACTGATGATACTGAGGCTGCAAGTGACCATAGGGTTTGTCACAACCAAGCGTTTGCTTCAGGTCCTTGGGTGTAGTGTGAGTGATGTTACCTGTTTCCACTTAGTGGATTCTTTGTAGGAGTCAGTTTCAATTTCTCCCTTCTGAGGTTGCCAGGAATGGGTGCAACAAAGACTAAACCTCTAAAAGGACATCAAGAATCTCCTCTCTTGGATGTGTAAAACATGAGATTACATTACCCCTGGTTATAACCCTACAGTCATAACTCAAAGCTAAAAATCACTTATGAGGGAACAATGTTGTAGTGCAGCATGTTAAGCTGCCTCATGGGACGTTCATATTTCATTTCAGAGTGCCTGGGATCAACTCCTGCCTCTGCTTCTGATCCAGCTTCCTGCTAATGTGCTGTGCACCCTGGGAGGTAGTAAGTTATGACCCGAATACTTAGGTCTCTGCCACCTATGTGGGAGAACAGGATGGAGCTCTGGCTCCTGACTTTGGCCTGGCCCAGCCTTGGAAGTGAACCAGTGGACAGAACCCTCCCCTTAACCCCCAGATTTCCAATAAACAAAAATAAATAAGATACTAAACTAAGAAATTCACCCTGTGGGGTGGTTAAGTGCTGAGACTGAAAAGCATTCCAGAGTTGCCGAATTCTAATCCAAGCTATCATAGATCATGTACCAGGCCTTGCAAGACTGCGCGTGGGACAGTTGTAGCTTTGCGGCTGCAGCGGCCAGTTGCTTTACCACTGGGGGAAACTAAGGAGAGAAGTTCTGTCATAATTAAGGAGTATCTGGGACCAGCCCTGTAAATAAATTTTTGCAGGATGAACAAATGCACTCACTAAAGGGCAGGCCATTCCAAGCACAGCATGCAGTTGAAGCTGTGGGAGGTGGGAATGGGCTGACTGGAGGGGAGGAACCCAGGGTGAGGGAGCTCCTGCAGTGGTGGGTGTGCAAGGAACTGTGAGGACTTCACCTTTCAGTTCCCAGTATACTTGGCCCAGGGGACGTGGGCAAGGATCTGAGAAGTTAGCTCATCGCGTTCCTGCTTTTTCCTAAAGGGCTAACGTGTACTCTTCGAAGGACATTTTTAAAACAACAGAGAACACACGTTAAAGTATGGTACTTCATGATTCTGGGTTTTTCTTTTTTGACAAATGCAAAACGAGAGAGGATTTGTAAGGAAAAGGGAGCAAAAGATATAAGACTTTAGCTTCCATTTTTGAAGTGAGATTCAAGTTTCCCCTCAGATTTTACTTTGGGGTTTATTGTCTAGGAGCTTACATACTTAACCTGTTAAAGTTCGAAACTGCTTTCCTTCTTAAAATTTCTATTTATTATTTTATTTTTAAAGATACTTGCTTATTTGAAAGGCAGAGTTATGAGACAGAGAGAGGGAAGGGAGGGAGAGAATCTTCCAGCTGCTGGTTTGCTTCCCAAATGGCTGCAACAGCCAGGACTGGGCCAGGCTGAAGCCAGGAGCCAGGAGCTTTTTCTGGGTCTCTCATATGGGTGCAGGGGCCCTAGCACTTGGAGCATTCTCTGCTTCTTTACCAGGAGCAATAGCATGGAGCTGACTCAGAAGTGTAGCAGTTGGGACCCAAGCTGGTGCCCATATGGGAAACTAGTGCTGCAGGCTGTGGCTTTAACCCACTGAGCCACAGCACCATCTCCAAAACTGCTCTACTTAATCACACCGATCAGTTCATGTAGGAGAAATTAAAATACAACAAGGAGGTGATAGTGGGTCATAGGACACAGATCTGAACAGGTTAGGCTCATTTTCAATCTTCCAGAAAATGAGATTTTCAGTGTTTATATCTCCCAGAATAGCATAATCGTTACATGATATTTGATGACAGCCCAGGGAAACATAGCCACCAACTACAGGCTAAATTACTAACTAGTTCCTTCTGGTTGCTCCCTCTTCTAGGGGAAAGGTTACTTTAGTGTCTATCCAATTTCATTTCTTCAGATTACAAAAACAATAAAATTAAGCTGACTGGTCCCACAACCAAAATTGCTTTAAAGTCTATTTGTTAATTGTGCATGTTTTGGGGTGGCTTTAGAAAGAATGACTAATATATATAATATATAACTTCACAGGCTATATTTTGGTGAAACTTCAAAGTTAATAATACAATGAAATGTTACTGCCAAACAGACTTGAAAATATATATGTTCCATGTATTGAAACAATTTTTAGTTCATATGGGTATCATACGGACCATATAACCCAAACATATTTTCACCACTATGGAATTTTCAACTCTAACATTTTAGGTGTAAATATATGACCTTGGCACAGTGACATAACTGTAGGTAAGTGTGCTCGATTTTTGTTGGTTAGAAATCTAAGACATTTCAGTAACTTTAACCTGCCTTGGACATAAAGGATGTACAATTTATGTTCTACAAAGACATTTGGTTCCTACAGGTAGAGATCAGCTGTATATCAAACAACTGAATCTCATTTCTAAATCGATGTCTTCTGAAAACGCTTTAAATTAAATACATTCCACATACACTCTACACTTTGAATTTTATACCCCTGGTTGATAGGCAGAGTCGTTCAGCTCTTGAAGATAAAGGTATCTGGTTATTTATGTATTCTGTTACTGCATCTATTTTTTCCACCTGCTCATAAAGTTCCATGCTTGACTTGTTACTGAGAACTATAACTGAGAGACCATAAATAATTTTTTTCCAAAGCACATTTGTTTCAGACTAGAAATAATGATCATTCAATTCAGGTGACCATGGAAATTGGGGCTAAAAACATGAGTTTCTGAATTCTGCATCATTTGTTACATGGAAAAGAGCAACTGTAGCCGTCGGCTAAGGCCTTTCCACCTGAATCTTTCAGCTCCTACCCGGGCTCAGAGATCACCAAAGCTTATTTAACACTTCTTCATTACACATGAAAGCACAGATGTCCTCCACCCCAGTGAAGAGGAGCTAAGTTCCAGGAAACTGTCTTCCAGAATCATTTGGAGGAACTTTGGTTTTAAAATACCAAGTTCCCCATTAAAAACACTTCAGAATTCCAGGGTTTGAAACTGGAAGATGTAGAAACAAACAAGAACCTCAAGGTCAGGGCTATTAAAGGCTAAGTAAAAGACCTGCTGGAGAAAATCAATTCTTTGCTATTACTTGTTCCACTCTTCATTCCTGCCAGTGACATGTGAACACTGTTTGGGCACACTTATTCTTACATTCTCCTTCAAGACAAAAGATGCTGTTCAAAAGACTTGCCAAAATGTCATGGTTTAGCAAACAGTCTTGGGAAATAATTTTACCACTTTTTTCTGTTGGTTAAGTAAGAACTTTGCTTGGAATGCAGAATCTCAGTGTGCCCAGAGCCAGTGGGAGGGATTTCGCCAGGAATCATCCAGCACATCCTCACCTATCAACACCTCTTTTGGGAGTAGACATGGGAGACAGAGGTAGTATGAATCTAATGTATTTTCTTGAAGGACTGATACCTTACTACAATCCTGCTCATAATACCTGAAGGGATATGTTCATTAGCCTGATTAAATCTTTCTGCAACATATGCGTATATCATAATATCCCTATGGATATATAGAATTACATACCCTATGAATTATAGAGTTATGAGTTCTATATGAGTATTATACCCTATGAATATATACAATCATTAGTTGTCAATTAAATACATAAAATTTTAAATAGTCACTGAGGCCATTATTCCATCACTATGAAATACACCTAAAGAGAAACAGGTGAATGTACATGGAAACATCTGACCTTTGTTAAATAATCCACATAATGAGAAAGCTCCAGGACTTCTCGGAGTGCTTAGTGTGGTATGGTGCAAAGACTCTAGACAGAATACAAGCCTAGGCTTAGTCCCAGCTCTCTTGCTTGCTGGCTGTGTGTTCTCAAACAAGTCACTGTGCATTGTTGCATGCTGGTTTGCTCATCTGTGAGATGGGGAGGGGGTGTCAGACTTTAATCCTTAAACTTCTTTCCAGCCCCAGGCATCTACAAAGTTAATCATCCTTTATGGTCTCTTTCCTTTTGTTGGGAAATCAGCTGAGTAAGGTGGAGCAGCTCTAACCTGCACTTGGAAATAACAGAAAATTCTGCCACCGGGGTCTTGGTTCACACTGTATGTACCAGGACAAGGACACAGATCACTGGAACTGAAATGCTGAGGGCATTGCCAAGTTGGTGTCAATAGTGTTTCTTACTCATATACACTATGAGATATTGCAAGATGTCAGAATGACAGCTGAAAGCAAGGCCTTCATTTTGTTGGCCACTCAACAGCTGACAGTGTGAGAGTCACTCACACCCAAAAAGAAAGCATCAGTATTTCACTCAGCATGCTTTACAATACAATGGCAGCCCGCCTGCTCCTCCCCAACTTATCATTCTTGTAATAGAGGCAGTCACCCGATACTGTTGCATGCAGGGAGAGAAGAGATAGAAAAAAAGACAAGAAAATGGCAGGGGTCTGAGCCAGAGCCCCACTTCTTACCTCCTCCACATGACTCAGAACACTTGGTGAATCCCTCATACTCCCAGTCATGCAGCTCATCGAAATCCTGCAGGCCACCGAACAGTCCATCTGTTTCGTCCACATTAAACTCAGAAATTTCCCCGTTGCATGGTCCTGAGTAACAGGCACGTTGGGATGCTGGCTTGGGCCCTTCGCACTCATCAACAGGCAGGTCAGCCACGGACTGAGAGAAAGACAGGAGCACTTGGCACCTGACTATTCTCACCTGGGTCCCCACACCACAAGTAACTGAACAGGCTGACCAGGCCTCTGGGATGAACCTGCAGTTGGCAAGCAAACAAGAAGACAGGATGAGAAGTCCCAGGCAGGGGACCAGAGGGGTGGTGGGGGGCTGCATCCCATCTGCCTCCACTGCCTAGACCTGTCCCAAGATATGCTCAGGGCTTCTCCACCCTGGGTTGTGATGGGAGCTTCGGTTTAGTTCATGAGCTCATAGGCCACTGTTTCTGGATTGCATGCTTCATGTCATATGAACTCCCAGCTGTAAGACATTCCAGCCACGGACCACCTGCTTCTTGCTGCTCTGCACCCACAGTGCTAGCTCTTCAGAGCGGTGAATGTGTCTTCTCCTCGCTCTAAATCCCAGCACTTGTGCCTCTTGCAGGAGGCTGGCTATTCTTACAGCAGACTAATACTGATCCTAAAAACTCTAACATAATAAGCCCTTGGAGATATTTAAGGAAATATTCTTTTTTAGTCTGCATCTCATATTCTACAAGTTTCTTTGCTTTTCTGCTCAATGTGCTTCCCAAGATTTATTTATATGTATAAAGAGATTTTTTTTTTTGGGTAAGTCTCTAAGAATGGTGCAAAGTCTTGTCCCTCACACATTCTTTGAATTAGTCTGAACTCCAATTCTTTTTATATCGTAGAGAAAAGCCATGCTACAAATTTAAAGCCACAGACTTGTTACAGTAAACCAGAGACTGTGCAATCACACAAGTGTGCTCACCTCCTCCATTTCCCACCTTCCCAAAAGAGCTACACTGGTAAGAACTTGGTATTTCTCTGAGTTTCTCCAGAATGTAGGAAAATTTCCAAATTCCAAAAGAAGATCATGCTCTCCACCCCTATTAAACAACCATGGCCACAACTGCGTGACCTTGGGAGGGGCCTAATGAAAAAATCCCAGTGGAATCACTCACATTTTCAAAAAGTTAGTTTAATAATTCAAAGAGAGAACTTTGGGACAGAGTTTTTCCTCCATGGTCCTGTTGTTTTCTCATAGGACGTCATGGAGGCATGAGAACCTGGCCCCCTAACCTTGACTTTGGCAGAAAAAGGAAAGAACTGATAAGAAGGGTTGAGCATTAAATCCTAGCAAGCGCAAATGGTTCGCATCTATATCCGGGGAAACTGAAATTCTAACAGCAAACCCTTCTGAGTTTTCAAAGTGGAAGGAACGTGACCAGGATGTTTCCTAGGCTTCCTGTGAAGCAGAGGTGGTCTGGCCAGGACAGTGGGCTTCCCCCCAAACAGCACACAGTGCTCTCAGGCGCAGCAAGAGACATTTCAAGAGGGACCTGGCTGCAGCTACCTGTGAGGAGCCATCCACTGGGAGATAGCAAAAGGTATCCATACAACCCTGTCAGGAAGAAAGGGGAGGAGAGTGCCACCAGAGTGGTTCCCCAGGACTTCTCATCACACTCTCACCTCCCCTTTTGTTTTTGATGTATTTACTCCATTTTCTGGCACAAGATTTAAATAGTCTTCTCTCTTTAAATCATATTGCTTGCAGGAATTAGAAATACAAAATCAAAACCTGGATTCAACATCATTTCAATCCTCTTATTACACCTCACACACACCTGCCTCGCTCCTGCAACAAGATTTATAACAAATACACAAGCACTGGCTTTTACAACACAGGTGTAGACATAAAGGGAAGTTCATATTAAGTTCTTTTGTATATAACGATGACATGAAATCAGATGATTAGCCTGTCTTTTTTTTTTTTTAAACTTTATTCATTGGTTTACTCCTCAAGTGCCTACAAAGGCTAGGCGTGAGCTAGGAGATACAGCCAGGCATCAAGAGCTCAATTTAGTTTTCCCATGTGGGTAGCAGGGACCTAATCACTTGAATTATCACCTGCTACCTCCCAGGGTCTGCACTGGCAGGAAGCTGGAATCAGGAGTGAGAATTGGGAATTGAATCCAAACACTTCCAATATATGGGGGAGGCAAGCACCTTAATTCCTAGACCAAATGCCTGCTCCATAGCCTGCCAACTTTGACAATAGTGTGATAGTAATGCTTCTGTAATAATGTGTACCAAAGTTTGTTTCCAATTAAAAAAGATGGCAAAAAGAACTTTACCCTATTAGTTTTTTCTATGCAGTAGGATTCCATCACCTGTAAGAGTCAATTCTACTTCAGTGACCATTACAGCAGAACAGAACAATGATCAGCAAATTTTTTTTCTGTAAAGGGCCAGACAGAAAATATTTTAGAGTTCATAGGCCATGTGGTCTCTATTCCAACCGCTAAACTCTGGTACTGTCCATGTGAAATGAGTGTGGCTGTGTTCTAGTACCACTTTAGTTAAGGAGTGGGTGCTTAGCCAGCGAGTGACAATGCCCACATCTCACATAAGAGTACCAGGTTCAATTCCTGGCTCCAGCCCCTGACTCCAGCTTGCTGCTTAATGCAGACTTAGGGATGCTGAAATGGATGGGTTCCTGTTACCAACATGGGAGACCTGGATTGAGTTTAAGGCTTCCAGATTCAGCCAGGCCCAGCACCAGATGTTGTGGGCATTTGGGGGAGTAAACCAGAGGATGAAAGATCTTGTCTGGCTCTTTCTCTCAAATTAAATGCAAGCAAACAAAAACCCCTTTATTTTTAAAAAATGGAGTAGGAAAAGGAAGAGGGTGGTGATGGAAGGGTCTGCATTTGGCTTGTTGGCTGTTGTTTTCCTATCTTTGCTATAGAGCAGAACATTTGGTAGATATGCTAAACATACTGAGATCCATAGATAATTCCTAAATTTATTTTAGGTCTTAGTTTCCATCTCTCACCACATATATACAAGCCTGTAGGATGACAAATAGCCAACTTGATTTGTGTTTTATCTTCCAAAGTGATTCTTGGATGGAATCTAGAATATAAATGATGCACAAACTAGATTCTCAGCTCTCCTTGCCTATAATATGATTAATGTGCATTTTGGTCTCTTTCTAAAACCATGAAGATAGACCAAAGACACACAAAGTAGAAAGGGCATAACTCTGAAGCTCCATTAAGTTACTGCCATGGATAAACCTGTTTATTTTAAAGTAGCATGTCTAAATTTTAAAAAATGTACAAGATACACTCACAAAGTACTTCAAAAAGTTTGTGGCAAACGGAATTAAAAATAGTTTAGGGATGCGCATTTGGCCTAACAGTTAAGATGCTGGTTAAGATGTTTGTGTTGTGTATTGAAGTGCATACGTTCCATTCCTGGCTCTGGCTCCTGACTCCAGCTTCTTGCTAATGTAGACGCTGGGAGATAACAGTGATGGGTCAAGCAATTGGGTCCATATCACTCGTATAAGAGACCTGGATTTCATTCCTGGCTCCTGGCTTTGGCCAGGCCTTGCCTGGGCTGTTTCAGGCATTTGGGGAGTGAACCAGTTGAGAGAAGCTGTCTGTCACTGTCTGCCTCTTAAATAAATAAATAAATAATTTAATAAAGAACAAGTTTATTTTGGTACAAAAACTGTGAAATATATGCATATGAGGGATCTTAGAACATTCATGAGAGGGCAAGCATTTCGCCTAGTGCTTGGGATGCCCACATTCTACATCAGAGTGCCTGGGTTCGAGTCTCAGCATTGCTTCTCACTCCAGCTTCCTGCTAATGTGCCTCCTAGGAGGCAGCAGGTGATGGCTCAAGTTATCAGGTGCCTGCCACCACTTTTGGGAGACCCAGATTGAGTTCCCAGCTCCAGGCTTTGGCCTTTTCCAACTCCCGCTGTTGGTTGTGGGCATTTGGGTAGTGAACCAGCAGATGGGAGATCGTTCTCTGAGTTTCTAATAAATAACACTAAAATAAACATCTTTTAATTCTATTTCCACAAACTTTCTGAAGCACCTATATGTGTGTGTATGTGTGTGTGTGGGTTTGTGTGCATATAAAGTATGCATGCATATTTACATATGCATGCCTGTTGTGTGTATTTTTGACTATATGGACATTTGGTGTTAATAGCAAAAAATAATAAACATCTGTTTTATGTCTCTCAAATGAGAGTCTTATCAAATATAAAACAGCCTTACTGGCTTATCTCCCAACTAACTATCCTTAGGTCTTCATCAAGTTCACACCAATTAAAAACAATTTGGTTTTTAAGTGGTGCTGTCTCTTGGCAGTTATCTTAATTCTCTAGTGCAAACACTGCAAGATATAACATATTTTCTTGTGTTGAAGGAAGGAGATTATATTTCAAAAGAAACATATCTGATAGTACAAATGTTTTTCATATGAAGCTTCCCCCATATCCCTGGATCCTCCAGTGCTGTGTTTACTACTCTGAGTTTTCTAGCCACGAGTGGGAGGAAGCAAGGTCAGTGAGAGGGCAGACAAGTGAGTTGGGAGGTTTAAATGTAGTGGTGAGAATACTCCTCCTGAATAGCTCTTGCTGAATCGGAACCTTTAGGACTGAGTGCAATCAGTGCTGTTTTGAAACCAGTATATTAATTACGATGATGGGCAAAGATACAATAAAATTTTCTTTTGATGGAAATTTAATTGGAATATTTATAAATTCTTTTTGTTAGCAGTCCTATTGTCAGATGAGTGAAGCATGGCTGTATAAATGAGGTTTTTTTTTTTTTTTTTTTTTTTTTTTTTTTTTTTTGACAGGCAGAGTGGACAGTGAGAGAGAGAGAGAGAGAGAGAGAAAGGTCTTCCTTTGCCGTTGGTTCACCCTCCAATGGCCGCTGCGGCCGGTGCATCGCGCTGATGCGATGGCAGGAGCCAGGTACTTATCCTGTCTCCCATGGGGTGCAGGGCCCAAGGACTTGGGCCATCCTCCACTGCACTCCCTGGCCACAGCAGAGAGCTGGCTTGGAAGAGGGGCAACCGGGACAGAATCCGGCGCCCCGACCTGGTGTGCCAGTGCTGCAGGCAGAGGATTAGCCTAGTGAGCCGCGGCACCAGCACAAATAAGTTCTTTAAAAGCTGTGTGTAACCTTCAGAAATGAGTAATATGAATTTAACATTTAGTCTTCCCATCTCTAGGAACTTAAAAAAAAAAAAAAAAAAAACAGAATGA